TTTAAAATTAATTCTATAAGTTTGTAAAAATTATTTAAAAAAATTTTTATTAAATTTGGTTAAGTTTTTATTAAGTTGTTCTTGTTTAAAGTTATAAAAAAATTTTATTATAAAAAATTTGCTTGATTTCTATTGACTCACTTCCACATGTTGACAGACTTAGCATCAAGAATGTCAATCAACCGGTATGATTGGATGATCAAGCCACAAATATTTCACAAAATTCAAATAAAGTAGGGCTTTTTTCAGATAAACCTATTTGTGAACAAGATCAATGTCCTACTTTCAAACTATTATTTTAGGTTCCCTGACCTATACTGCCTGACAGTAGATACATTAGCCCAAGATTGGACACAAATAAAAGGATGGGTGAACCCACTGTGAATATTGATACACAAGATTCTATCCAAAGTGATGAAGGACAAATCAACTATGGCACTAATAATACTTTACTGGATGACTGTATCATGGTTCCTGATACTATTAGACCTTCTGATAAATCTCTCAATTTTACTATTAGACAAATACCTCTTTATTCCAGAAAGAACCAGCAACCACAACCCAATAAGAAATCCAAAGTAGAAGATATTTGTATATCTTATCTCAGGCAAAAACTCTCCAAGAAAGGGTTTTTGCCGAAAGCTGTCAAACTGGTGAAAAGCATAACCGAAAAATCATCAAATAATACAATTGGCTCAGCTCTTAGAAAATGGATTCTTTGGTGTAAAAGATTATCTATTGATCCCATTCAATACCCTGTAGGTCATATTGTAGATTTTTTAACCAAAATGAGTAATAAAGGCATGCGTACAACACTATAGCTTCTTATTGATTAGTCATTAGTGAAGCACATAATTTAGTTGACAATATAAAAGTGGGACGTCACCCATCCGTGGCTATGATCATGCTAGCAATATACAAAAAGAGCCATCTTTACCTCTGCTAGAAGACACTATAGATATAATCTCATACTTCGAATATATAACAGCTATGGAAAATAATAACGAAATGTTGATTATAAAATTAATTAAGAAAACAGCATTTCTTTTAGCAATTACCTCAGTAGCAAGGCCCAGCAACTTGCAATATATATTTCTAAAATCCATGACCACAATAGAAAATGGCTATTTTTGTAACATTGAAAAACCCAAGGAATATAAAATCTTCATTGCCCACAGAAGTAAGAAATTAAGACAAAAAACACTCATAATAGAATATTATGACAATGAACCTCTTTTATGCCCAGTAGCCGCTATACAAGCATTGTTAGAACATACCAGGGATTGGAAAAATAGTAGCGAAAGAAAAGACTTTTTATTTTAACTTCAACGCCCCTACATAATCCTGCCTCAGTTGATACGATTTTTGGTTGGCTTAAGAATATAATCACAGTGGCAGATTCGAAAGCTAAGGCAAAGGACTTAAGAGTTATATCAAAATATCTAGCTCAAGAATCCGGGGCAAATACAGATGCTATACTGGCCTTTGGCAATTGGTCTTTATGCGAAGTATATAAAAAATTCACCAAAAAGGCGTAAGAAAAGCACTTGAATGAAATCATACAGTGAACAAGATCCTAGATCTAGCAAGGGATAAATAATACTCCACAAAATACACATGATATTGTCTATTATAGCATGCGAAGTTTATTTCAACCAATGGTCAAGTATTAACAAAGATCATTGAGAAATGGATGAGCATTGCGAAGATAGACAATATCTCACCAAATACCCACCCTAGAATAAGATTAATATTAGTACATATATATTTTTATCCCACCCTATTACTTCAGCTTACAAATAAAATGGCCTAAAGAGAGAATTGCTTAGTCTAGTTAGATATATACACATAAAAATTTTTTTTAATTATTAGTATTGTGTAACCTTACAATATAATAGCAATAGTAGTGTTTTAAGCTGGCTGAAGCAGCCACGGCTAAGCCAGCTTAGCCAGTTAAGCCAGCCAATATAAAACTGTTGGCTGGCTAATGTAGCTAAGTGTCACCAATCACTAATAAGTATTTTTTTATATAACCGAGTCGAATACATCGGAACTAGGCCGGCATTAAGCTATAATGCTAGAAAACTATATTATAACAAAATTAACGTTTGGACAAGTACATAAGCTACAGTATTAAATTTCGATTATTTCAACCCGGAATTTTGGTCAGTTTGGTTGCGTGACTAACTTATTTTCTAGCCAGCCACTATTAGCCGCTTAGCCGATGTTTTTGTCGGCTGGCTTAGCCAGCCGACTAAAATCATGCGGCTTAAATCACTAACGCTAAGCAATAGTCTACAAAGTTGGGGCAGCCAATAATAAAATAGGCCCAATATTGTCTATCTTCGCAATGCTCGTCCATTTCTCAATGATCTTTGTTAATACTCGACCATTGGTCGAAATTTTATTGTCATATTTGATTTAAATAAAATGTATTGATTTGAGTAAAATGTTAAAAGCACATTAAATTATTTAAACTGATTAAACCAATTTGACTATGGTCGAATTGGTCTAATCGGTCTGTGTAACTAAATCATTTGACTGACTTTGACCATTTCAAGATGCTTGGACCAGACTGGCCATTGGTCAAATTGGTCTCGGATTGGTCAGATCAAACCAACACTAATTGTAATGGTGCTAAAATTCTAAAAATAAATTTATGTTTGTGTAGATGCTCAACTTTTTCAAAGACTCGCCAAAATTTTTCTCTATCTTTGAATTCTATAGAATCATGGAATTTGAATAAAAAATTTTTTGTCGAATTTAGTCAGGTGGTTGTCGAGATATCTTCACTTAAAGTTAGAGAAAAATTTGGCGTAGCTTCTATTTTGATATGCGTTTTCTAACTTTGAGCGAAGTTATCTCGATAACCACTTGATTAAATTCGATAAAAAATTTTTTATGAATACATAGAATTCAAATAAAAAAACGTATTATCGAATTTGGTCAGATGGTTGTCGAGATATCTTCGCTCAAAGTTAGAGAAAAAATTTGGCGTAACTTCTATTTTAATATGCGTTTTCTAAACTTTGAGCGAAGAGATCTCGACAACACTTCACTAAATTCGATGAAATTTTTTCTATGAACAGATGCGCATCACTAGTTGCCACGTATCAAAATTATATCACGTGTTGCTGTGCCGGTAGATTTCTCTTCCGCTGAATTAGAACAAATAAAAAAAAAAAAAAGCATCTTCATGTGATTATATGCCGTTGTCGTATAGTGGCAGTACATCGCGTTGTGGCCGCGCTAGCCCAGGTTCGATTCCTGGCAACGGCAAGTTTCTTCCATTTTTTTTTTTACTTTTTTTTTTTTTTTTTTTAAAAAGTAATTAGTGATTATCCTGTTACCTTTATTCTTTACAATGTTATATCAGTCATTTTCTTTCTTTCTATTTCTCGTGTATACCCTTTCGACAGCGATAGTATGGGGCATAAAATTTGATCTTCCAGCAGCACCAGAACATAGTGTAGTGCCAAAATGCATCTCGCAATACGTAACTACTAATACACTTGTAGTTGTAACAGTAAAGGTTGGAGTTGGGTATAATCAAAAAATAGATGTCGAGGTAAAGTGAGCAAACCTTGAATCTAAATATTTTTGACGTGCGATGGGTCATTATTAAAAATAGCACTTTCGTAAAGGTAACTGATAATAGCGATGCGAATAACAAATATGGTCATAAACGGGATATCAACGAAGAAACTCGTTTGGCTTTTACAACACATGCTAATGCGGATATATCAGTTTGCTTTACAAATACATTAGATGAAGGTAGGTTTTATGAATTATACATTTTTATTAAGTTGTTCATCAAATTTAATACTATTATTAAGTTGTTTATCAAGCTTAAATACTATTAAGTTGTTCAAGTTTAAATATTATTATATCTTTCCATAAAAGAGTTCCAACCCAATCCGCAATATCATCGTATGATTGACCTGGATATAGACATAGGAGCAGAAGCTATAGATCCTAATCAATTCGAAAAACTGAAACCTATGGAAGCCGAACTTCGAAAATTGGAACAAGTAGTGCAAGAAATCGTAGACGAAATGGATTATCTACGGCAACGAGAAGCTAGAATGAGAGATACAAATGGTATTTTAATTCCTAGAATTGCTTTTTTTTTTAGAATATTCAACGCACTAATATTAATATCAAATTAATATCAAAAGAATCTACAAACGAACGTGTCAAGTGGTTCAGTCTTGGCACCATGTTTGTGCTTGTTTGTTTAGGCTTTTGGCAGATTGTCTATCTCAAGAAATTCTTCCAACGAAAAAGATTGATCGACTAATTATTTTTAAGTCAAAAAAAGAGTTTCTTTTTTTTAAAAAAAGATAGATTGTAATTAAATTTTAATGGAAATAATTGTTAATAAAGTTCTTTGTAACAACTTTATCTTAATAATTTATTCATAAAAAAAGAATTTTTTTGCTTTACAGTAATGGTATTTGAGATGAGTAATGGTATTTAGAAAGCTAAGTTAGTATGTGGCATTACACTTATGTCCAGGATCTATTGTTGTTTATTATGCTATATCCAAGAAAAGCATATAAACATTTATCGACTTTGAAAAGGGACGAATTTTTGACAAAAAATAATATGTACAAAAACTAGTCTAGAACTTCATTTTCGAAAAAGGCATAATTTTACCCGTTAGTTAGGCCAAAGAATGTAATTTAATTTTAATACGATAATACCGATACCTATAAAATCTGAAATTAAAATGATTAATCCCATTTTGTGGGATAATTTCATTGCAAAACATGTAAAAAATATTATCCTATAAAGTAAAGGTACCTGGATCACCCTATTTCCGTGGATTATATATTTGTGATCCAATTTGGATAATTTGATGTCTCACTGAGATAAATCTAACAGTACCAAAATTATCCAAATTAGATCACAGTTTCCTGAGATATACTGTATATCTCGTGATCCAATTTGGATGATTTTGGTATCATTCGAATTGTCTCACTGAGATGAATCTAATGGAACCAAAAACCATCCAAATTGTATTACAGGATCCAGAGATATAAGATGTTTTCTGAATTGTATATCTCGTGACCCTGTGGATGATTTTGGTATCATTCGAATCGTCTCACTGAGACAAATCTAATGGTACTATGGAAACATTTTTTATGCATACCTTACAATTAAGCAGCTTGTCCAATTTCTGTAAAAATTTTATATTATATGCAATTTATAAAAAAATTATGTTTATTATATATCCACAGAAATAGGGTCAGTTGCTTTTTTTTTTTATAAATGATAAATAAATCTTATATTTAAATAATCAATTTATTGTAGTTTTATATATAAAATTTTATAAATTTGAAAAAGTTTTATGTTACCCTTATATATCTATTTTTTTTAAAAAAAGAAAAAATTTCAACGCACAACATATACAAGATTATTAAGCTTATGCAAGAGAAAAATTTTTCATATACGTAGAATTCATGTTCACCAAAATAGCCTTGTCCGGAGCTTAGTGAAGGGACTTACAATAGATAAGTAAATACTGTACCAAAAAATGGAATTCTTAAAGCCATGTAAAATCGTCTTCCTGACATTTTTTCTTATTATACCAAGATAGGTTTAAACATTTGTTTTTTGTATTTTTTGTATTATATTAGCTAATTTGTGAACTTGCTAATATCTCTTGATCTACTGGTCTGTTTTGGATGATTTAGCTACCAAAATGTCCATCTCGATGAGATGATTCTATCGAGCCCAAAATCGCTAAAATCCAATCACAGAATCCCAAGAATGTTCTAAATTTGTGCAATTTTAATAGTGATCTATACTATGTAGACAATCAACTGAGAAATGGGTTGTCATTAGTGAAAAACTTCAGATTAAAATTATGTATGCTTTGCACACCAAATTTTAAAATTGTTGTGTACTCTGTATACTAAGTTTTAAAATTAACATGTGCTTAATATATTGAGCCTTAAAATTAATATGTATAAAATTTTTAATATTGATATTATCATTGTAGTTGGCTAATTAATTAAAATTTAGAGATGTGGTGACTTAGTGTAGTGGGCTAGTTGTTACCCTTTCCAAGCAGCAGGTCTAGAGTTTGAATTCTATAAACAATGATTTTGAAAAATAAGGTTGTGTTATGATAATCTGTATAAAATAATTGAATTAAAGAGATTTGTGATTTTAGTTACACCAAAGCATGTTTCTAGAAGATCCACTAGTGTTTATATAATCTAAAGAAATTCAGGAACTATGAAGAAATGCAAGCAGGTTTAGGGTGGTACAAATATTTAATAAGTTCAAGATTGTATAAATCTTGAAGTTTTCTTTTAACATATAGAAAATCCACTTGAGAAGTTTCGAATTGGAGGTAATAATTAGCTTTTGATAGTATTGCAGAATAGAAGACAATACTAGAAACTCAACTAGAAGCCTGATAATTATAACCTTTATAGATTCAGGTCATACAACCTGGTTGCCAGAGTCACACTGGAGAAAAAAGACATGTGCTTTAAAAGTATATACTAAGAGAAAGGAGACTATTAAGTACTTAAAGCTAGGCAGACCAACTCTTCTAGACTAACTGGATTGGTACTGTATTTTCCCGAAAATAAGCTACTATTTTTGGGCCAAAAATTATACAAAAATTCCCAAGGTAGCTTATTTTGAGAACAAATTGATTTTTGATTATTTTTATTAAATAAAAATAGTTGTTATATATAAAAGTCAAAATGGTATTAAGTAAATAGATATTATAAACTTAATAGAAGTTGTTCAGAATTAAAAAAATACACATATGCTAAAAATTTTATACAATTTGAATAACTTTTTATTAGTAACATTTTGCATGTAAAGTTTGAACTTAAAATGCAAAAATGGTACTAATAAAAAGTTATCCAAATTGTATGAAATTTTCAGGATATGTGTATTTTTTAATTCTAAACAGCTTCTATTAAGATTAAAATATATATTTACTTAGTACAATTTGATTTTTATATATAACAACTATTAAAAATTTTTGAAAAATTTAAAGGTAGCTTATTTTCAGATAAAGAGAATTCTTAGTTTTTTGCTCAAAAGTGAGGGGGTATTTTAGGTGGTAGCTTATTTTGAGAAAAATACAGTAGTAGGGATATCTTTGGAGCCAGACTTATGAGTTAAAAAAGAAATTAGTATTAGGGTTAGTTGTGAACCCAATAAGAGCAAGAAGTATATAATAGGTGACTAATTAGAAAAATTGGGCTTGAAATATAAATTGTATTATAGCAGCATTTCAAAAAGTGGTATAAGATACAAACACAATGGTAGCAAACAATATATATTAATTAGGGAAAAATTACTGAATATGCAGGTAAGCATATATGTTAAATATATACTATTCTATTAAATTTATCACAAGAATAAATATTTTCTATAGATTGGCTAAAGTCTTAGAGTTTTATATAGTAAATTACTCCCTGTATATGATATATTAGAAAAAAACAAGTGAAGTTAGTCAAAGCTAGAAAGTTTAAATAAATAGCTTCCTAGTTAGGTTATAAGTATAACATCTAGTGTAGAACCCTTAGCATAGTACTAATACTTTGGGCAGACTACTTAAATTAGACAACTAAAAGTTATATATATAACTAGTTGTATCCTTGTAATACTGATTAGAGGTTGGAACTAGTTTTAAATATTTAAGTTTAGGGAAGTATCATTTATCATTTGATTTTTTGTAAATAGTAAAATCACCCCCCCTCCCTCAAATGATTATGATTACATATAAATATATATACATGTGATCTATTAGCATAATATTTTGGTACCCACCCCTCTGTTAAAAAAATCAGATGATAAATAACACTTCCTTTATTATATAAAAATTCAAGTTTATTACTTTACAAAAACTAGCTATTTTTTTTCAATAGAGTTAAGATCATCTTAACGATATTAATACAA